TTTTCACATTAGTGATGTTGTAAGGAACAATTAGAACCAATAGGAGGAACCACCAGAAAGAAAAAGCAAAACCCAACAGAAGAAAAATAAATAGCAAATAGTATGCTTTGATCTGCATTCAAACTCCATAGTTCTTTCTTTGGAGAGAGAGAGAGGGAGGGAAAGAGGGAGAGAGAGGGAGAGAGGGAGAGAGGGAGAGAGAGGGAGAGAGGGAGAGATCAATCACCAACTCACAGGATTGTTAAGACCAAATGAAGGGGCATCTAGGTGGCACAGTGGATAGAGTACTCCTGGAGTCAGGAGGACCTGAGTTCAAATTCAGTCTCAGACCAAACACGTGACACTTACTAGCTGTGTGACCCTGGGCAAGTCACTTAACCCCAATTGCCTTAAAAAAAATGATCGAATGAAAAAATTTATGCAAAGCCAAACCTTATAGTGCTATATAAATGCTAGCCAGCAGTAGTAGGCCCTTCATAAATGCTTATTGATTGATTTGTTGTAAAGAAAATGCTTTGTAAAGTTGTGGCTAATAAGGGAAAGGGAAGGAAACAAGCATTTATTAAATATCTGCTATATGCCAGGCACTGTGCTAAGCACTTTACAAATATCTTATTTGATCCTCAAAATGACCCTGGGAGGTAGGTGCTGTTAGTATGTACTCATTTTATAGTTGAGGAAACTGAGGCAAGCAGAGGTTAAATGACTTGCCCAGGGTCACACAGCTAGCAAGTGTCTGTGGCCAAATGTGAACTCAGGTCTTCCTAAATTCAAGTACCTTATCCACTGCTCTAACTAGCTGCCTACTATGTGATGGGCACTGGGCACAAATCTGTGAGAGCGATAGTATGAGCATTCCTATTCCCCATTTTACATATGAGGAAACTGATGTGCAGAGAGTTGAGGCAATTTGCCAGTGGTCACATAGGCAGCAATGGATGCTTTAGGTCTCCTGAGGCCAAGTCCAAGGTCATTTCTCCTACTTTTCAGCTGCCTTTCAAGATGGGGAGGAGGAAGGGTGGAAGGAAGGGAAGGAGAGAAGGAAGAAGCCAGCCAGGCTGGAGCCAGGGAAGAGAGACAGTGTGTGTGTGTGTGTGTGTGTGTGTGTGTGTGTGTGTGTGTGTGTGCATATGAAGTGAGTACGGGTGTGTGTGTGTGTGTGTGTGTGTGTATGTCTGCTTGCAGGGCTGGGGGTACAGCAAGGTGGAGAAAAGCCTGCCTGTCTAATGGTAAATGCTTTGAGGATTGAGGACGTGTGAGTGGACAAAGACTGCATCGGTGGCCAAGAAACCTAGGAAATAAATATAGGCTCAGGAGGAGGAGTTCCTCAAAAGCTTTCTTAACCAGGTCAGGTTGCTTTGCTGAGGAGCAAGTCACTAAGCCTTAGTTTCATGATCTGTTCAGTGGGCGTGAGCGCCAACAATTCTTCATTGATTTCAGGGCTTCAGGGGTGATGACACCAAAGGATGGGACTCAGGGCCCACGGTCTCCTAGATTTCCTTCAGTCTCTCTTTCCATTCCCTTTAGTTCTACCCCCAGGTTCCACCCCCCTCTAGGCAGACCAGCTGGTTACCTGAAGAGCTGAACTTGCTTCCTACCTGTCTCCCCCACTGTCCAGGGAAGCAACACAACACAATACAACACAATTCAGTTGCAATGCAAGGCAACACAAAGCAACAAACAGATATTGAGAACCAACAGAATCTGGTACTAGGAGTGAGTTGAATTACATAGTTTAGCTTAGGAATCTCACAGTCTATCAGGGGGCTAAGACACAAGCAAAGAGAACTACAATATGCAATATCACGCGGTAACTGCAAACCACGTGCCGTGGGAGGTCAGACACAATCAGAAAAAAAGCATTCAGATGCCAGCCACTTCCCTTCAAGCTTTCCCAGAGATGCACGGGCCCTGGGTAGAGGAAAAAAGGCTTGGAATGAGGTTGGTGGGCGCCTGGACAGAAGTTCCCCAGAATGCAAAGGAGCCCTATTCCCATTATGTCCCTGGGCAGGGACACAAGCTGTGCTCCTGGGACCCTCCCACTCTCAACCCCCTGCATTCCAATGATCAGTCACCCTCGAGCTGAGCTGTAGGCCTCGCAGAACGTAACTATTGAAAGGGAAACCACACGCCACCTTGTCCGACCTGCACGGGTACAGAGACATCACGGAATAATGGCATCAGGAGAGGTGGGGGTTTAAATTCTTGATGCTATCAAGCTGTGCAACCAACAACAAATTCCTTCACCTCTCTGAACCTCAGATTCCTCACCTGTAAAATGTCAACAACAATACCCATCATGCCTACCTCAGAGCCTTTTCTTCTCAAGGCTAGCCATCCCCATTTGATCCATCTGACCCAGGCAGGGCACACTTTCAAGCCTATCCACCACCCTGGGCTGCCCTTCTCAGGATGGGCTCCAGCCAGCAGTCAGTCACCTCCCTCATTTCTTTTTTTTGGCTAGGCAATGGGGTTAAGTGACTTGCCCAGGGTCACACAGCTAGTGCATGTCATGTGTCTGAGGCCGGATTTGAACTCAGGTCCTCCTGACTCCAGGCCTGGTGTTCTATCCACTGTGCCACCTAGCTGCCCCTCCCTTATTTTTAAATTTTAAAAAAAGCTGGTAAATTTTCCCCCTTCTCCAGTTCTGCAACACATCTCCCATTCCACATGTTCTTCAAAGATCACCAATCATGATTTAACAACCACAATGACCAGGTCTTTCCATACCCTGGGACGTAGTTGAACAACCACAACAAACATTGACCAGGCCCACCTCATGTGCACTGGAGATCCAGAGACACAACAAAGCAGACTTTGGGGGGAGGGATACAACATGAGCAGAAATGGGCACAGTACAGTGAAAACCGAGGAAAGGGAAAACACTGACAATAGGGGAGGTCAGAGAAGTCTTCGAGAAGGAAACGAGCGGAGCCTAGTAGGAAGATAAAGATGCTGAGAGGCAGAGAACAATCAATCAATCCAGAAGCGTTTATTTCCTCCTCAGTCCCAGGCCCTGTGCTCAGTGCTGGGGATATAAATATAGAAATGAGTCTTTGCTGGTGAGGAGCTCCCTCTATACCCTATAGGGGGAGACAACACGCATATATATATGTATATGTATATACACACACACACACATACGCACATACATATATGAAACATAAGTATATGAAATACACATGAAACATATGAAACATATATTTTAAATAACACACATATGTGAAATCTATTCACAAAAATAAGTAAGGAGCAATTTTTTCGTGGTGAGGAAGCACCAGCAGCTTGGGGGATGGGGGTGGGAATCAGGAAAGGTGTCAAGCAGAAAATGATGCGTGAACTAATCCTTGAAGAAAATTTGGGCTTCAAGAGGTTGAGGAGGGAATTTATTGCAGGCGAAGCAGGACAGCCTCTGCAAAGGCAGAGACATGTGAGGTGGAACATTTGTGCGGAGGGAAGAGAAAGACCAGTTTGGCTGCATAACGGGAAGCAATGTATAATAAGAAGGGAAATGTATGTTTGAGCTAGGTTGTGGTGTTTATATTTGATTTTTGATGTAATTGGCAGCTACTACAGGGCAGCTAGGTGGAGCAGTGGATAGAGTGCCTGGTTGGAAGTAGGAAGACTCCTCTTCCTGAGTTCAAATCTGACTTTAGACACTTAGTAGCTGTGTGACCCTAGGCAAGTCACTTAACCCTGTTTGCCTCAGTTTCCTCATCTGTAAAATGATCTGGAGAAGGAAATGGCCAATTACTCTAGTATCTCTGTCATAAAAACCCCAAATGGGGTCACAGAGAGTCAGACATGACTGAAAATGATTTAACAAGAAGAAGTTAGCTACTAGAGTCTATGGAACAGGGGAATGATGGGGTCAGATCTATGCTTTAGGAAAATCTCTTCGGTAGCTGCTTGGAGGATGGATTGGAGTGGGGAAAGACTTAGAGTGGGGAGAGTGGACCCCAGGTATATGAGATGGCTTTTGTGAGATAGGTAATTGAGTTCAGGGAACGGTGATTTCACCTAGTTTGTCTGGAAGGTAGAATTCATGAAGAATAATGTGAAATAATGCTGGAAATGTAGGTGATAGCCAGATTGTAGCTCTTAACTTCCAGGATCAGGAGTTTTCATTTGTTCCTACAGGAATGGGAACACCCTGGAAATTAGTGAGCAGGGGAGAAATATGGGGTGACCTGTACCTTGGGAAGATTATTCTGGCAACTTAACTGCATGATGAATTAGAAAAAAGGGAAACATTAGAAACAGGTGATGAGGGCCTGCAGAAGCATGGAGATTGTATGAATGGAGAAAAGGGTTCAAATGGCATGAATCTGTGGGGGTAGAAGGGACAACACTTAGCAAAT